AGTCAGCGATGAGCTGATGAGCAGGACATTCAGCATGGCCAAAGCCAGTTTTCTCACTTCTGTTTGACTCCCAGCTTTTCCAAGTTTCCTGAGTTTAAAGACAGCTGAGATTCTCATAGCAAACCATTCCCTTGAATGCATCTACCACCTCCAGCAGAGTAGCTCCCTGGCCACCCAGATTAAGGAGTCCCTCTGCAGAAAAAGGGGACTGTCAGGGAGGAGATTCCCACTGCAACACAAATGCAAAGACTGACCAACAAGAAGCACAGTTTACTCACTGGTTGCAGTGAGCAAACCAAAAAGATGTCAGTTTTTAATTCACAACATCTTAAGCAAAGTACTGCCATGGTCAGCCACTGCAGTATTTTAGCCGCAGTATTTTGGATTCCCAATGTATACAGTAAACTAAACAAAACAGCAAAAGGAAGACCTGTTTTGTCTTTGGTCTGATGTTGTGGCCAATAGATTAAATCCTCCTTATCAAACAGAAGTAATTTCTTATCAAAAGAATATTACAGACTGAAAAAACATACTAATTTGCTCACAGTATGTGTTGAAAAATATAAACTATACAGAAAGCTCTCAGTGTTACTCTGGAAAAAAACCCTCAGAACAAATTTTTGCCATGGTTTGCAAAATCAGCTATTGTTACTGGGGTTTTGTACATTGTTGCAAAGACTTTTAAGAACAAAAAGACAAAAGGAAATTAAACAATACATTAATCAGCTGGCTTATTACCTATGAGCCAGCAATAAGAAAATTAAGCCAAAATCATGTCAAAAAAGGGGTTTACTGCACTGCCACAATACATACATACAAACCATAGCAGAAACAATCATGACTCCTTTAACATTTTGCCCTGGAAACCTTTCTGTTCCAAACAGTACAGAAAGAAGAGGAAAGACCCAAAAGTAATGCCCTGCATATGCAGTTAAGTTTCTGTTCTGTGAAGATTGTGGACAACAAGTTGGGTTCTTTTAGAAACTGTCCTGTACACGCAAAATCCAAATGAAAGAACTATTTGACCAAAAGAAATAATGTGAGCAAATGTCTCCGCTGTGGCAAAGGGAGAAAAGATTCAGAAGATCCCTGCTGCCATACGGTTTTCTCCTCAACAGCCAGCCAATACCTACAGGCAGAGGTGTCAAGTTCTGCGCATTAATCCAAAAAAATCTGGAGCACTGGGGCAATTTCTGAAAAATTTACTTTGACACAGGAGGTATTTTCTTCTCCTTCAAACACATCCCCAAACCAAATTATTAGGTTTCATCCTGCTTTCCTATAGTGGATACTTTGCAAGCAAAACTCGGAAGTATCACAAAAGAGAAAAGTTCTGGTCAGAAAGAACAATGATCAAATTATCACAAATGGGAACTTATCTCTTTTTCAGAGTCCTGTGATAATCAAGCCTTTTTGGCACAGAAGTCGCACTGCTTGGTGACTTCTGTTGCTTTGTTGTTTTGAAAAATAAACGTGCCCATAGGAAAAGAGAGATCTCATGCCAAAGACAATGGTAAATACTCCACCAACAACTGCTTAAAGCTTCCTCACTACAGGACAGAAAGGATGCATGTCAGAATATGCTCTTTTCACTCTAGAAGTTAAATTTCCTGCTATCCTATACAGCTTCAGACAGCTGTCTTAAGAGAACTCAGAAGATCAAAAGCAGGTGACAGATGATGACTAGTTTTGGCTGGTTGTTGCAGCATAGATTTTGTAGTGAATTACCTAGAATTACCTTGGCCTATATACCTTTACATTGCCTGAAGTTGCAACCTAAATCAGCCTCCTCAGACTCGGTGGGGTGCCCTGACTCTTCATTACTTCTATCTGTCTCATCTCAATCTCGTCAGTTTAATACCACAAAGTCAAAGTTTTATATTATTAACACTTGTTTAGCTTAAACTTGAAATCATGTTCTCCTAACTCCTGTATGTCGTGCAGGCCTGCTCCAGAGCTGCACTGACATTTCCCTCAATGAAATAGGCATCACCCATTGGAAGTCTATTCTACATATAAAGGCTACAGCCTTCACTGCAGCCTTTGAAGCTGCATATTGGCTAAATCCACTGTCAGGGTTCAGCTCGGGGATTGCAACAGACCCTGCAAAGAGGCCATGCAGAATACTTTAGCATGTTAAAACTTATTTATTAGATTCTAAATTATAATCTGTATTGACAATAGAAAGAATAAAATACAGAGCGACTGGGGTAAAGTCAGTAATGGGACAGCAAAGGTGAACGACATGCTGACAGTCGTTTCTCTGCCTTTGACTCACTATATAGAAAAAAACGTAGGCATAATCCCTCACCTCCTTACACTCCAAGAAACATCTTTTCAGTTGTTTCCACTGTCAGGAAAAGGTTTGTTGACTCATCAGAAGAGGGGTAAAAAGGGAAAAGCACGATTTGCATAATCTGCAGAAATTGCAAAACATTTCTTCTTAGAGATATGAGCCATTCTTTTAAATCCCAGGTCCCCAGGAAGGTAACTGCCCTTAAGGCTCGACCTTCAAATCCCTGAATTCAGTTACAAAAGTCCCACTCACTTCCACTGTGCAAGATTGGGGCTGCAGAGCCACGGGACCTCTGGAGGTATATGCTGTTAATTACTTGGGATACCACAGTTCAGAAAAAGGTTCCATTTTACATCGCATTATACTGTAAATTTAAGTAATCCAGATAGAAGCTATAGGACTAATTCAACAAGAAAGAAACAAAGCTTTGTCCGTATGGTTTCAGGCATGCGTTCTCCAAAGGACAGTGGCAAGTAACAGAATGAAAAAAAAAAAAAAAAAGTCTAAGAGTTGATCAGTGGATAATAAAATGGTCCTTCCCCAAGAAACCTACTTCCATTAGAAGAATATTCTCTTGAAAGGACAATAGTTCCACAGACTTTAAAACTAATATTATTGGACAAAGACAAATAATTAACTTGCAGTCTTCCAAACAAAGATTGTAAAGCAAAATGTTTTTATTGAAGTTTTCCACATACACAATGATACTTGCAGCACCTTACAAAGCATGTCATTACATACACTTTCAAAATATTATGTATAAACAGCATAAATAAAGATTATGGAATCAAGTTTAGGTTTCTTAACAAGTTCACTTGAACAGCACTTTCTGGGCAATGACATTTCTTTGAGAATATCAGCAATTCACAAAACACATTGGAACAAGTTGCTCTGATTCCCTGTCTGATAAAGGTGTTCTTCCAACCCACAGCCTTAGGTGCGCAGCTCTCAAACCACTGGCAGGTCGACAGTGAATTGCAGTCTCAAAGGCAAACAACCTGCCAAGCAGCCCACAGTGTCTTGTAAACAGCTCACAGACCCTGAAACTACCTTCTTGGAGGGACTCGTCGCTGCATAGGGTGGGGGGCAGACAGAATCTGAGAGGTGGTTTCCAGCCCTCTAGACCATGCTTAGTTTTGCTGCTGCGAGTTGTTCCCTGAGAAACCAGCAGAGTGACCCACAGTAGGAGAAAACTGGTAATATCAGTCAGACTCTGTAGGATTTTGAACTCTAGATACAACTGATCTTTAAATTCTGATTCAGTCTCTTCTCTCCAATTTCTCTTTTTCTCACCCAAACATAGGAAAACCTTTTCATTTACAAAAACACTAATTCTCCAGGCCTGTTCTCAAATAAAGATACAAGTTCCATGGACCAATGAATGTATTCATATTGTTTTCTCTAATAAAAGCTAGTATTAACAGGCACCTCCTTTCACCAGTTCCAATGAACACCTGTGGGTAACAGCAGAGCTGTATCTCATCTGCACGAAGAAGAGAACAGAATCACTTGCCACCCTACTCATTACAAAGCAAAAGATGAAAAAACTGAATTCCTGCCCTCTTCATGAGGCCTCTAGCAAGGCTGACTTGCACTAAAAAAATCTATGGTGATGGAGAAGAGTTGGTTCTTGGTGCCATAAATGCCTGAGCCCTCACCCTGTATCTGAGTCAAAAGTCAGAAATTCTCTGATTTTGGACAGGACACCAATCTTCTCCTACCTGCAAAACATTGGTACTAACACTTGGCTGTGTGTCGAAAAGGAAGAATTTATTTCCTGGGGAACACTCTGAAAGTGAACTATGCAAAATCAGTAGCAAAAGCAGCAAGCCTGGCCTTTTGATCCAGTTGAGCAGAAGCACAGCTCCTACCTGCTCCCATTGCCAACCATCAACTCCAGAAAAGAGGAGAAATGAATGCAGACAAATCCCACAACTTCATGAGAGTTGAGTTTTCAACAACAGCAAGCAGCTAGAATGGTGACCAAAGAGCTGGCTTTATATGTCTTCTGGAAACAGAGTACAGTGGATAATAAGAATGTGCCTTTATTGAGGAGTTTGCATCCATAATCCACATGCCTTTGACAAACACTAATAACAACATGAAGTTGCATTTCAGACCAGGGGTTAAAGGTGACTGGAGGTGGTTAGGTGACCTGACCTGCCTCGAAAGAGTTACAGGACTCCTAAATCCCACTGCCCTGCTCTGACCTCTGAGCTAAGCAGCTCAGACTCCACAGCAGTTTTTAGCTCTCCTGAAGCATCAGGAGTGACTCCACAGATAATCCTGTGCTGAGGAAAGACAAATTGGCAGAAGCTGCTCAGAGATCTTTCAGTTTTGTAAATCCTGTCTGCCCTGCTTAAACCAACACTTATACAATAATAAGATAGTTTTTGGCTCTCTGATCCAGGGAATTTCCCACTTCAACATGTTCATGCTTGCTAGCCCATTTACTGAAAAGAGAG